GTCTTGCGCCGGCAATCCCCCCAAGACCTTGCAGGAACCTCCGAACTCTCATTTCTCAGATCCTGCGGTTGCAGTCGTGCAGAACTCCGCGAGAGGGCGAGGTCGGGGCGTCGTGGAAATTCGACGCGGAGGCCGCGGTGGTAGACGAGCACACTAATGTCCGCTGCATTTGCAGTTTGCTTCTTCACGACTCGTGGTATATTACTGCTGCATGTTTCGGTGTCATGACCTTCTCTGTCCATTGCCCCAACGCTAACGCATGCACGTTGTTCACACCAGCAATTAATTTGATAATTATACTACTGCGCGGCCACCAACACCACTTCTTTCTCGTTCCCGACGCTATCTATGGTCATACGTGAGCCGCCACTGCCCGTCACAAAGGCATACAACCTGCTAGCGTACTAGATTTCATAGAGGTATGAACCATCCTACGAGCGCACGTCAGCGAAGATTCGAAGTTCAGAGGTTTATTCCCTGTTGTCACGCGTACGACCACTTCGCCTCCTTCCATCGGCTGAAAGCAAGTACAAAGTTGAGACCGCATCACAGTTGGTGATCCAGGGCCTGGAAGGTATGATTTGGGTGCTTTTCTAGATGAGCTTGTGTGCAGTCAACGGTGTAGTTATTGTGGGAGTTCGTCGGATTGTGTCAAGCCTCTACAAATTGAAAGTCGTGTCTTGGACTGCTTTCAGGTGACGGGATAACTGTACCCACCCCCTATAACGAAGAATAAGTTGCAATAGTTCTTTGTGCACAGAGGGCGACTTTACAGAAGTCAGCATGCTCAATCTCACTCCCATTCAACCTGACTTGAATAGGTCAGTGATTGGATTTATTCCACCGCTTGATTCCCAACTACAAATAACCGAACGTACCATAAACTATTGTGTCAATCCAACAGTCGTGGCGTTGATAACTCAAGGTTCCAGCTTATCGAGTCAGCCTGTAGTGGCTTATGAATAGTTTTTGAGGCAGTCACATCTGAGTGATATCCGAGACCCCCATAAACACGTCGTTAGAAATTAGATTATGAATGACACTCATCAACCGGCGTTTCTACGTCTACCTTACGGTCCTCTCGGTTCTGCCATGCAATTGTTGTACTGTAGATGTGGATTAGAGGGGCATACGTATCTTGCACACTTACTTCGACATAGACGAGTCCACGCGCATCCGCGTTATGGGGTTGAGGTTAGGCTCATCGCTTGCGACAACGGAATTATCGATACATTATCACCTAAACAGGGTGCGTGTCTACAGTGGCCGATTTCATTTAAGTACTGTTGCAGATTCCTAACTGGCTATTATCGCGGTTTGCTCCTCGACACGTCTGCTTCGAACCCCAGTTTTTAGGATATTCGTATGTGCTCTGCCCAGCAGAGTTGATTTAAGAGATCGAAGCTTCATGTATAGATTGTTTTAGTTTACAGAAACAGTTGGGGTTTTCTAAAAAAACGTAATTAATCAAGGAGGCAGCCTCATTCACTTAGGAAAGAAAAACAATAAAATTTAAAGGAGTTGTATTTTCTAAAGTGCTCATAAAGAAGTCCCCAGACTTTCTTCTAAGACTGCAGAACGGTTTCGCCGGAGATCCGTGAATGCGGGGCGAAGAGGACTGTATGCCGTTGATTGAAAGCACTAGTGACGAGGCGATCGCCGCTGCCAGGCGTTGCCTTGGGCAGGATTCCTGTCCAGGGGTCAGTCGTGCAGCGCTGCTTCCAATTCAAAACCTCTCTCTTTGCGCTATGAATCTGTGAGGAGTCGCTCACGTTGCTTTGTCCGCTTATTGAACCACAGTTGCTGGCTGTAGACGCAGCCGACATATAAAAGGTTCGGTTAGAGGGAG